TCGCCTCGATACTCGTAGATGGTCTGCTTGCAGGGCGTCGCGCAGTTGCACCGGGAAGGCTGCCAGGCGCCCTGCAGCAGCATCACGTCGAGGTGCTTGCTGACCCGTTCTGACATCTTCACCCCGCGGCAGTAGGGGACGTCACCCGACATGAACGGCAGCCTGGTGAGGGGGAAGTGAGTCTCGTTGAACAATTTAGCGTTGAAGAAGAAATAGAAGAAGAAGAAAAGAGAGAGAGAAAGAGCAAATTAGCGCTGAAGAAGAGGAAAGAGAGAGAGAGAGCAAATTAGCATTTAAGAAGAAGAAGAAGAGAGAGAGAGAGAGAGAGAGAGAGAGAGAGAGAGAGAGAGAGAGAGAGAGAGAGAAAGAGATAGATAGAGAGAAAGCAATTTAGCGTTGAAGAAGAAGAAAATAGAGAGAGAGAGAGTTTGGTGGATTTATCATGGGATAGGAAAGTCACGTAGGCTTTTTGGGTAAAAAAAAATATGTTATCTAATAAGTACACGCCACAATTTTTTGAAATTATATATATATATATATTTCTTTCTTTTTTTAAATAAAGTAATTCAAGAAAATCACTTACAGAACTGCACACCAGGCACATCCATTAGAGAATAGGCTTCCCCCTCGGGAATTGCTTAATTCAATGAAAAGAAAAAGAAAAAAAAAAGTAAAATTGGTCCACGTAGACAGCTGTCTGTAAAAGAAGAGTACAGAGCGACACGCAGACAGACGCATGGTCCCCTAATGTAATTATTAAATGATTCATGGTGTGCAAGATTTGGCTCGGAGAGAGTGTGTTCGTTGCAGCCAACATAATGAAATTAGCCCGGAAGTAAAAAAAAAAAAAAAAAAAAAAAAAAAAAAACACCGAAAATCATGGCGTCATATGCAAGGCCATGTATTTCCTTGCCTTTTGGGTTTGCAATCTCCCTCGCAGATCGGTGCCATGACCTGGGAGAGTGGAGTCAGCTGACCCGAATGTCATCTTGGCCAAAGGCACAGGTCTTAACCCCGAATCAAATAGACTGGGTCGAATTTTTTTTTTTTTTTTTAAATCTTTTATATTATGTATGTCCAAGGTTCTAACCGAATTTGAAATGCCGAGGCTCAAAAAAAAAAAAAAAAAAAAAAATCCTTTTCATATTAAGCTCTTCGACTTCATGAAATATAAATGAAACGAAATGCAGTACGAAAAAAGCATGTAAAAAGTACTGTAATATCGTCCTAAGTATTTGGTTCTACTGTTGTTCGAGAATTCCATTTTATTACATTTGTCCCATCCCTTGATGCCGGCGGACCCAAGGTTCTCTGCTAACTATTTTGCACTCACGCAATTATTTCGGCGTAACGAAATTAAGGATATGTAATGGAATTTCGTATGGCAAGTTCATTGCATCATGGACCTCATGAAATGTACGAGTAAAGGTGTATCTCTTTCTTTCTAATTTGACAATGTTTTTTTTTTTCTTCTTCATTTTCATATCTTTCAGTGTTATTCTTTCAATCAAAAAACTTCAACGAAATAATATATCATCTTTCAGTTATTTTTTACATCGAAATGCTCAGCCAATGAATTTTTCAAGACTTGAATTTAACTTAAAATTTCGCAATTGCAGCTCCTTTGAATTAATGCCTACTTAAACAAATAAAAAAAAAACACCTTTAAGTTCACTGCTACTGAGGAGCACGCGTTCGAGATGCTCATTAGTAACATTTAACGACGATTTCCGTGAAAAATGAGGTACTACGGGAGACTAAAGTAAATACACTGAATCATGGGGGTCGCGGAGAAGTATCATCTTGGCTTCATATTAAATTAAGATTATTTGAAGACCATTTTGTGGAGCGATATTTCAGCATAACATGAAATACAAAGTAAATGTATATAGTATACATCAAAAGGCTACAATTGTACTAATATATATATGTATACATTTTTTTTTTAAAGAAAAGCCTATATCTCTGTACATCAAAATATGTTTTTATTTCCCTTTTGAATATATTCCACAGAAAAGTTCCGGGTTATAAACTCCTTTTAATGCTCTCACGTCTACCATACAATCGATGTTAATCTTCCTATGAGAAATAAAAACTAAGTAAGAGTAAATAATCTATACATATTAAAGGCATAACACTTTCTGGATATGAACCTCTTCCTGCTACGGTCATTAGATTAAAGGGTGGTCGTTAAACCTAACGAAATATTAATGAGAATGAACTGTTTGCGGCAAGGAGTAGAAAATTCACTTATGAGTTTGGGTACACCACTCGAATTATCATGGTTAAAGTAAACACATACACACACACACACACACACAGACACAACACACACACACACAACACACACACACACACACACACAACACACACACACAGACACACACACACACACAACACACAACACAACACACACACACACACACACAAACACAAACACAAAAACACACACACACACATACACACACATACACACACACACACACTAATACCCTAATGATTATGAAAATTCCTAAATCAATGTTTACTGAAAGATCGACATAACAATTATAACAATCACATTAAAAACATAGCCTGATGACAGACTTTTTTCGCGGAAACATGTTTTAATGATAATGATAACAACAACAAAATAACAACAATAATGATGATAATAATAATGATAACAATGATAGTGATCATTATATTTATTATTATTATTATTATTATTATTATTATTATTTTATTATTATTATCATTATTATTATTATTATTTATTATTATTATTATTATTATTATTATTATTATTATTATTATTATTATATTTATTTATTATATTATTATTTTTATTATTATTATTATTATTATTATTTCATCATATCATTATTATTATTATTATCATTAGTAGTAGTAGTAGTAGTAGTAGTAGTATTACCATGATCACATTTATAATTATAATAATGAAAATTATAATGATAATAGTAAACATAACAATGATGATAATAACAATAATGATTATAATAACAACAATAATAATAATGAAGATAATGGTAATGATGATTATAGTAATAGAAATGATACAGAATAAATAAATTATTAACAGTAATAATATTAGCAGTAAAATTCAGTAAAAACTTTTAATATAATAAGAGATCAGTGTGATATTAATAATCCTAAATAATCTATTTGTAATTATTTTATACAAAGATTAGTAGCGGGTGAAGAACTATTAGTACTAGCTAGTAAGACGATAGCAAGTGTTGTAATAATAATGTTGATGATGATAACAACAACTTTATTGGTGATGATAACAAAACATTATTAGTGATAACAAAAAATTATTGGTGATGATAAAAAAACATTATTGATGATAACAAAACATAGCAAAATTATTAGTGATAACAAAAACATTATTGATACAAAAACATTATTGATGATAACAAAAACATTATTGGTGATGATAACAAAAACATTAATGATAAAAAAAAATTATTGGTGATAACAAAAACATTAGGATGAAACAAAAACATTATGTTGATAACAAAAACATTATTGGTGATGATAACAACAGCAACAACTATTGGTGATGATAACAGCCATGCTAATATCACAAGGAAGAATGACACTAACAGCTGCAACGGCCATATCTCTCTCCATTAATCATACAATCAATGCCAATATCATCATCACAGATACATCTCTGTCAAAGCAGCTGTAATATCCACTCCAAAACGTCAAACAGATAACCATCTACATGAATAATTATCAATAACATCCACGCTTAACGGTGAATATTAATTCGAAGCACAGGGAAAATGTTGCATAGTTGCATAACCTTGAGTCCTGTTGGTAAATCTGAAAGTTTATCTTCGAGAGAGAGGGTTGTGCCGGAGCTTAAAGAATTCAAACATGCTTAAAAGATTACGAAACACGTTTTAATTCCGTTTGGACAAGGTATCATTTTTTTTTCTTCTTTTTTTATGGTGTGGATTTTCCATCACCAGCAGAAAGCAAATTTAGTCATTATTGATTTCTTTGCCATCCGTTTATCAGATAACGTGCAAAAACAATGCAACGATTTTTCATTGCAAAAGCTATCAGCTGTCCAATTAAGTCCATGATTGGTAGTTAGTTCCATAAATTCAACAGACTTCATCTGCTTGCTCCATTATATTAACGGTCTAGTATGTCGCATACCGCAGCGTAGTATATTGAAGCCTCTCTGTCGCAATTTGCAATACATCATGCAGTATCTCGTAGGAAAAAAAATTACACTATCACGCATATTACCAAGAGTTAAGCTTTCACTATACTCCACATGGTAGTGATGAAAATAAAGAGGATAATGATGAAAATTATCTAAATAAAACAAATAAAGATGATAACAATTCAAATGTTGATAATAAAAATAGTGATGACAAGTGATGACAAGGATAGCGAGAATGATAATGAAGATGACTGTGGTATTTATGATACGAAAAAAACGTAGACTGACATTGATATCGATACGAATATCGGTAATAAATCTGATTTAGTTGGTTTTGATGAGAATGGAGACGAAGAGAATAAAGAGGAGGATAAAGAAGTAGCAAAAAAGAAGGAGAGACGAGGAAGCAGGAGTGAGAGAGAGACAGAGACAGACAGAGACAGAGACAGAGACAGAGAGAGACAGAGACAGAGACAAAGAGGAGACAGACAGAGACAGGGACAGAGGGAGACAGAGACAGACACAGAGAGGGAGACAGAGACAGACAGAGAGAGGAGACACAGAGAGGGGACAGAGAAGACAGAGACAGAGAGAGGGGGAGGGGGGGGGAGGTATAGATAGATAGATAGAGAGAGAGAGAGAGAGATAGGTAAATAGATAGAGTGATACACTACTGCCAAGTGTCTCTCCTTTCTTGGTACACGTGTCCTCTTCCTGCCTCTCCCCTCTCCCTTATACTTCTTGCATGTAACCTTTTCCATTTCCCTTGTTGTCCTTAATACCTGCCTCCTCTGACCTTCCTCCCAAGGGGAAATGAGGCTCGGGTTGGCTGCAAAATGCTGTGCATCTTTCCGAAGATTTTCATGACTCGATTTGCATGTTCTTAATTAACACTGAAATGTGTTTTAAGGATTCTTCAGGAGAGTAAATGGAGTGAGAATTATAATAAATGATAATGATAATTGTTATAGTAAAATGAAATGATAATGTAAGGTATTATAATTTAAATAGGCAAATGGGAGAAATTCTAATAATAGTGATTATTGTTAAATGTTAACTATCACCATATCAATCATGTTATTAACAATGATAACAATGGTAAAACAGGTTTAATGATAGCGTTGATGATTGATTTATTGATATTATTAGTGAATTAGAATGTTATAAGTAATGATGAAAGGATAAATAAAATAATAAAAATCATATATGATATGCAGATTTATGGGATAGTAGTAATATGTTGATGAAAGTAATGGTTAATGATAATTATGATCATAATAATGATTATTATAATAAGATAATGTTACCGGCAGCAGTAACATGATAGCTATTATAATGATAATAAAGGCAATACTGATAAAAAATATGACATGAAGGATGATGATGATGGTGATGATGATAATTATAATTGTTATGAAAATAATAATAGATAATGATAATAATAATAATGGCCATAATAATGATAGAAATAATATAATGAAAAACTCATAATACTATTACACTAATGATGGTAATAATAACAAAAATAGTAGAATTAGTAGTAGATTAATAAAAAAGTATCATCAAAATAATAAGATCATCATTTACTGTAATCCAAACCTTAATTAAACCATTCCCCCCCTCCCCCTGCTTCGGATATCCCAGCCTCCTCTCCACTAACAAGCCTCCACTTTGCCTACAAACCGGGAACTTTGACTATCTGGACCGGATAAGAATGTTTTTTTTTTTTTTTTTTTTTTTACCGTGTCCGCTCCCCTGAGAGAGGATGCTCGCCTTTCTGGAGAGTGAGCCCCTGTGACCTTTGACCTATTGCGAGTTTATTAGCAAAGGGGCGTCCAAGTCGTGGACCTTGCAGTTCATGTTCATGTATATACATAGACCACACACACGCGCGATACAACACACACACACACACACAACACACACACACACACACACACACACACACACACACACATATATATATATATATATATATATATATATATATATATATATATATATTATATATATATATATATATAATATATATATATATATATATATATATATGTATAATATAGTATGTGTGTGTGTGTGTGTGTGTGTGTGTGTGTGTGTGTGTGTGTGTGTGGTGTGTGTGTGTGTGTGTGTATGTGTGTATGTGTGCTGTGTGTGTGTGTGGGTGCGTGTGTGTGTGTGTGTTGTGTGTGTGTTCGTGCGTTTACACAAACACACATACATTATATATATTTATATTATATATATATATATATATATATATATATATATATGTATATATATATATTATATATATATATATATATATATATATATATATATAATATATATATATATATATATATATATTAATGCGTACATGCACTTTTTTTATTTATACATATATGTATGTATACATATACAGTATATACCCAAAGACACACACACTCATATGCACAAATATATGTATAGGATAGGGAGGATAGTTCTCTATCTTCTGTAACATTATCGCTTTGTCAGACGTGGTAATGGAAGTAAGACCCATTGGCAGCCACAGCATACTTAGTACAATGACATGATACCTCGAACTGATAGCCTCTAGGAATCCCTTCACACTCTCTCTATACTTTCCCTTTCCAGCCACTTGTTGTCTCTGTCTCCAACTCGCCGCACACATCCAGGTGAAGTCCCTATCCTGCTAGGTTTCCCCCTCGCTCTTCCATTCCATCCTTTTCCCTTTTCATTTTACTCATCTTAATGTACTAATTTATCCCTGATGATTGCTCTCTGTCCTCGAGTGTTTTTAGTCACTCTCGACGTGTAAAAAGCGACTCCTTTTCTCCATTTCTTAATTAAGTTTGAAAGGACTTAAGATTCTGGTAAAAGTATTAGATTGGCTTATTGAACCGACGAGGATTTTGTTCCAAACATAAACGTAATGCTGTGCATGTTGAAAGAACATTTCCTATTATAAGCTATTGTTTTGTGTCAAAGGGGCTTTCACTATTTTATGTTCAAAATAAAGAACAAGATTTCATTTACGTATGTATGTTTTCAGTGTTATATAGGTGATATTTCAAAAAAAAAAAAAAAAAAAAAAAGTATCCCTTTACATATTTGCTGTAAATTTCAGCTTTGAAAATGGCTTAACTCTTTTCATGTTTTTTTTTTCTATCAGCGAAACACACAGGACTTTCCTGGTCATTCAGAAAGTTGTCTTTGCTTGGATCTCGTCAGTGTTTGCTTTTTGCTTTCCCTCATTCAGGATTTTATACTTGTATCCCCGTAAGAGTGGGCAGAGCAAACACGTCTTTCAGATCACCCACCTACACGGGATTTCCCCTCTTATTTACTAACTTTTCCGCTCTCCTCTCTTTTACCCTTTCTTTATCTTTCACCTTCCCATTCACAACTCCATCCTGCTGTTTTTTTTTTTTCTCCCAATTCCTAACTTCTTTATTTCATTTTTTCTTCACACTCACCTGCATCTCAAGACCTTGATGAAGCTGCGAGAGAAGCACTGGGTGATGCACTGGGAGGACCTGTAGGCTGGGTCGTCGTTGCAAGGCTTCCGGTGGGTGTCCAGGGCCTCGAACTGCATAGGGAAGGGCGGGGGAGTTTGGGGAGTGACAGGAGTAAGGATTAATGAATTTTTCGTTTCTACTCATACAGGAAGCTGTTTGTTTGTTTCTCTGTGTCAATCCCCCCCATACCACACACGCATACATAAATATATATACTATATACTCGTGTAATATATCTCTATCTATTATCTATCTATTATCTATTATCTATCTATATCTATCTATCTATCTATCTATCTATCTATCTATCTATATATATATATATATATCGTGATATATATAATATATATATTATTATATATATATATATTATATATATATATATATATATATATATATATGTATAATATATATCACATCATATACTGTGTGTGTATGTATTATATGTACATATATAACACACACATAAGTCATATACATGTCTATGTTATGCATGATGTATACATGTTGTGTATACATATTGTAATAATAAATATATATATACTAATACACACACACACACATATGTATATTATCATATATATAAATATATAATATATATATATATATATAATATATATTAATATATATATTAATATATATATATTATATTATATTACTATATATATATTATATTATATATATATATAATATATATATATATAATATAATATATATATATTATATAATCACACACACACACACACACACACACACACACACACACATTCTATACGCATATATGTGGGTACGTGAAGTATGAACAAATCCTCCTACATGTTTCAGAGACACGATGATCTCTTTGTTCCACTTGAAAGCCACGAAATAGCCATGTGTCTGATTAGGAGGCTTGGGTCGTCCTCGCCTCGTGCACGACCACCCAGCCGGCGAGGTCCTGGCTCCCCCCGCCTCCGCCACGCCCGTCCTGTTCTCGGCTCCTGTGGGAGAAGGCGCCGCTTGGTTTGGGATTGGAGGAAAAGGTATAGTCTATCTATCTATATCTATATGTATATATATATATATATATATTATATATATATATTATCTATAATTATATATATAATATATATCATGTATATATATATATGTTATATATATTATATATATAATATATATAATATATATATATATATACATTTATATACATCGTATATAATATATATATATTAATATATATAATATATATATATATATATATATATATATATATATATATTATATATATACGTATTATACATTTTATCCATCTTCATAAATGTATAGCTATATCAACAACGATCTCTCTACGTCCATCAGCTGTTTATACTGTCCATATACTCCATATCTCTACAATTCTAAATCCTAACAAGCACACAGGCTTCACCCTCGTCGTCTAGTACTTAGCCTGAGGTAGAGTCCGTGGTAGGATCCTGCAAGCGTGGCCGGTCTGCCAGCGTACGTGATGCACGGACCGAAGATGGTGTAGGTCAGACGGAACTGCCCGACCTCACTGCAGAACAACCCGCGCCCCTGATAACACTGAGAGGGAACAGAACGTCAACAGTCGATTGTGTCTTCTCGTGACATTGGTGAAGGGAGGGAGTGCTTGTTGGTTCGCGTCACTTCGGTTTCGTGTAAAAGGATATCGATTCCTTATGAGAGAGATAGAGAGAGAGAGAGAGAGCGAGGGGAGAGGGGGAGAGAGACAGAGATAGAGAGATAGAGAGAGAGAGAGAGAGAGAGAGAGAGAGAGAGAAGAGAGAGAGAGAGAGAGAGAGAGAGAGAGAGAGAGATGTATATAAATATTGTGTACACACACCACACACACACACACACACAACACACATATATATATACATATATAATATATATATATATATATATATATATATATATATATATATATATATATATATATATATATATATATATATATATATATATATGTGTGTGTGTATGCATGAATAACGAGTATTTTTATTAGCATTCCTTATTAACAACTGTTGTCATATCAGGAAATCGAACAAATACACTGATTGCACTCTTATATAAAGCAATATCAATTCAGCAAGTATGTTCATCACAATCTTCATTGTCACACGGATAGTTACCTGGACTCTTATTGTTACTCAAGTTTATATTATGATTTTCGTTATCGCTATCATAATCATTATTGTTATTATCATCACCTTTATCATTACCATTACTACTAAAACCTTGAAATCAAATTTGATTTTTCTATCTAATCATTTTATCAAAATAGAGGAATAACTCGATTTCAATAAACATCATA